CTGAGTACAGGCTGGAAGTCCCAAAGTCAAAATGGGATACACCTCCAAAGGTGGTTGAGAATGACCAAGCTAAGATCCTGTGGTACTTCCAGATACAGACTGAAAAACTGGCAATGGCCTACCAACCAGACATAGTAGTGGTGGACAAACAGAAGAAGGAGGTCGTAATGATAGATGTAGCAATCCCAAGTGATAGCAACATCAGGAAGAAGGAACACGAGAAGCTTGAGAAATACCAAGGTCTGAAAGAAGAGCTAGAAAAGACGTGGAGGGTGAAGGCACAAGTGGTCCCCGTGGTAATAGGAACATTGGGGCTGTGACCCCCAAACTGGGAGAGTGGCTCCAACAGATCCCAGGAACACACCTGGCCAATAAAGCTGATTCTGATTCTTTAATCCCTTCTGAATGCATCCCAGGAAATGCAGGGAGAAAATAACACAAAAGGTGAATAAAATGAGAAGGCTGGAGATCTAAAGAGACATACCAGAGTCAACACTTTCCTTGGCCATGATGCTGAGAGCAATCAAACACTTGTAGACTCCTGTTACACTATAAGAGGGAGACAACAAAGTAAAATGGCTGCTTTTGTCACCCTCTAGAATACATTTATGAATTATGTAACTCAATACACTGTTACCATGATTATAACTCCTAAACAATTTTCCCTGCCAGTTGCAGCTGTACAAACCTCACCCATCCTCTATTAACAACTTAGTTAGCCTACATAAAGAAAATGGTACAAAGCTGAACTTAAGGTAACTGGATTTGCTTTTATATAAGATGAAACATAGAAATGCACCAGCTCTCCTGGCTGAAGCTCTACTGGAAGCTGCATCAGCAGTTCTAATGAGGGAGAACTGAGATTGCTTGGATCCAACCATCAGCATTAAATCTGTGAGGTTTCCAACACAAAGTGATAGTATATTAATCAGCACAAGAAATGTAAATACTGTCACATGATATTTTACATGCTACCAAGTAATTAGCAGCTGCAGTACATTTGTTAACAAATTATTAAACACAGCGTAAAAAGAAGAGATTAAACTAGTCAGTTTAGACTATATTCATGACTTTGTGGTTGAAATTAATCTCAAGCTGTTGCATACAAACAACCAACAAAAATAGAGAAAGAGTTATATATTTACCTGCACTGTTAGCTGTTACTGTCCTCGAGCATTGTCTAGCACATGCAGGCAAGTGACTTAGCTGGGCCATCAATCACGACAGTCCACTGATGAGATACATATTAAA